GGTCAAAGATCCGGGGGTGGAGCCAGTAAAGGTGAGTGTAGGTGGGGAGTTAGGATGGGGGTTGGTCAATCAAGGGAAGACGGACAGGTCAAGGAGGTGGGGATGAGGCTGGTAGGTGGGAGGTGGGGGTGGGGGTTGAGGTGGGAGGAGTGGATAGGTGGGAGGACAGGTTAGGGAGGTGGGGACGAGCTGGGCTGGTTTTGGGATGCGGTGGGGGGAGGGGAGATTTTGAAGCTTGTGAAGTCCATATTGAGACCATTGAGCTGCAGGGTTCCCAAGTGAAATATGAGTTGCTGTTCCTGCAACCTTCAGGTAGCATCGTTGTGGCACTGCAGGAGGCCCAGAATGGACATGTCGTCCAAGGAGTGGGAGGGGGAGTTGAAGTGGCTTGCGACTGGGAGATGCAGTCGTTTGTTGCAAACTGAGCGTAGGTGTTCCACAAAGCGATCTCCAAGCCTCCTCTTGGTTTCCCCGATGTAGACGAGGCCACATCAGGAACAGCGGATACAATATACCACATTAGCAGATGTGCAGGTGAACATCTGTTTAATGTGGAAGGTTTTCTTGGGTCCTGGGATGGGGGTGAGGGGGGACGTGTAGGGGCAGGTGTAGCATTTCCTGCGGTTGCAGGGAAAAGTGCCGGCTGTGGTGGGGCTGGAGGGGAGTGTGGAGCAGACAAGGGAGTCACGGAGAGAGCGGTCCCTCCAGAAAGCAGATAAGGGTGGGGAGGGAAAAATGTCCTTGGTAGTGGGGTCAGATTGCAGATGGCGGAAGTGTCGGAGAATGATGTGTTGAATCCGGAGGTTGGTGGGGTGGTACGTGAGGACGAGGGGGATTCTGTTTTGGTTGTTATTGCGGGGAGGGGCTATGAGGGCTGAGTTGCGGGAAACGCGAGAGATGCGGTCGAGGGAGTTTTCGACCACTGAGGGGGGGAAGTTGCGGTCCTTGAAAAACAAGGATATCTGGGATGTCCAGGAGTGGAATGCCTCGTTTTGGGAGCAGATGCGGCGGAGGCAAAGGAATTGCGAATAGGGGATGGCATTTTGGCAGGAAGGTGGGTGGGAGGAGGTGTATTCTAGGTAGCTGTGGGAGTCGGTGGGCTTGAAATGGATATCGGTTTCCAGGTGGTTGCCAGAGATAGAAACGGAGAGGTCCAGGAAGGAGAGAGAGTTATTAGAGATGGTCCAGGTGAACTTAAGTTTGGGGTGGAAGGTGTTAGTAAAGTGGATGAACTGTTTGAGCTCCTCGTGGGAGCTCAAGGCGGCGCCGATACAGTCATCGATATAACGGAGGAAGAGGTGGGGGATGGTGCCAGTGTAGCTTTGGAAGAGGGATTGTTCCACGTAACCTACAAAGAGGCAGGCATAGCATGGGCCCATGCGGGTATCCATGGCCACCCCCTTTGTCAGTAGGAAATGGGAGGAATTGAAGGAGAAGTTGTTAAGGGTGAGGACGGGTTCCGCTAAGCGGAAAAGGGTGTCAGTGGAGGGGGACTGGTCGGGCCTGCGGGACAGAAAGAAGCGGAGGGCCTTTAAGCCATCTGCATAGGGAATGCAAGTACATAGGGATTGGACGTCCATGGTGAAGATGAGGCATTGGGGACCAGGGAATCAGAAGTTTTGGAGAAGGTGGAGGGCATGGGTGGTGTCCTGGGCGTAGGTGGGGAGAAAATGGAGTCGAGATAAGTTTGGTGGTACAGGAGCAGGCGGAGACAATGGGTCAACTAGGGCAGTCAGGTTTGTGGATTTTGGGAAGGAGATAGAAGTGGGCAGTGCGGGTTTGGGGAACGATGAGGTTGGAGGCTGTGGGTGGGAGGTCACCTGAAGTGATGAGGTTGTGGATGGTCTGGGAGATGATGTTTAGGTGTTTGGGGGTGGGGTCATGATCCAGGGGGCGGTAGGAGGAGGTGTCGGAGAGTTGGCGCCTGGCCTCAGCGATGTAGAGGTCAGTGCACCATACTACAACTGTGCCTCCCTTGTCCGCGGGTTTTATGGTGAGCTTGGGATTGGAGCGGAGGGAGCGGAGGGCTGCACGTTCTGTGGGGGAGAGGTTGGAGTGGGTGAGAGGGGTGGAGAGGTTGAGGCGATTGATGTCTCGACGGCAGTTGGAGATGAAGAGGTTGAGGGAGAGTAGGAGGCCTTTGGGTGGTGTCCAGGAGGAAGGAGTGTGTTGGAGGTGGGAGAAGGGGTCAGTAGAGAGAGGGTTAGGCTCACGGTTGAAGAAGTAAGCGCGGAGGCGGCGGAAAAACTGTTCAACGTCCAAGCTTGAGCGGTATTTGGCATTTGTTGCTGCAACTGTAGTGGCTTGCTCGGCCATTTCAAAGACCAGCTCAGAGTCAGCCCCATTGCTGTAGGTCTGAAGTTACATGCAAGACAGACCAAGTAAAGGTGGCTGACTTTGCTCCCTGCAGGGCTTTAGCAAGCTAGGTGTTTCCTTAGGACAACTCATGAGACTGGTCACAGTCACCATCAGCGAGATTCACCTCCTAGAAGTGGTGGGAAGGGCAAACAATTGGGTGGGCTGGTATGGCTGAAATATTTGTCCTGTTCCCAACAGCTCAGCGATCTGGGGTGGAGATGGTTTGCTGTGGCCTTCCTGACCCATCACCAAATAAATGGTCAATTAACAACGAGCCTGATTCTGTCATCTCAGACAGCAAGGAAACAGACTGCCCTCCTACTTGGGAAAATAGGCCATTCCTGTCTACCTGTGGTTTCATTTTTTTTGTTTGGGGTTGCGGGGGCAGGAGGAGCAGAAGAGGAGGTCGGTGGGTCCTGAAAACTATGTGTCTCCTGTGCTTGATTCCAACCCCGCCCCCCGCCACTGACCCATCCCCACCCTCTCCTCACAATCCCCATTATATCCCGTCACCAATGATGGTTTCCAGATGTTGAACAACTTGGGCCTACAACAAGGCTCTGCCATTCCCAGTGGCTATCCTCCAACTGACTGGCAGTTTTGGATGGGGCAGGACCTCTGAACCACCTCATTTGATAGGTCAAGATGCCCGCCATGTCACCACTTAACAGCCTGATTGGCACCTGATAACACCGTCTAAAGAAAAAGAATAGGAGTAGGCCATTCAGCCCCTCGAGGCTGCTCTGACACTCAATACAATCCTGGCTGATCTGACACTTCTCACTCTTCCAATGGACAGGGAGTGAGTTTTAAAGTCGTCCACGCCCACACTTTAAGTAAAATGAAAGAGAAAATATCGACCTAGCTTTCAATTGTAGATTTGTTAATTGGGTTTAAATTCCACCAATTGCTGTGGTGGGATTTGGTCAGAAGTCACACGACACCAGGTTATAGGCAAAAGGGTTATTTGAAATCACAAGTTTTTGGAGCCTCGCTCCTTCTTCAGGTGAAATAATCTGACAAAGGACTGAGGCTCCGAAAGCTTGTGATTTCAAACAAACCTGTTGGACTATAACCTGGTGTCGTGTGACTTCTGACCTTGTCCACCCCAGCCCAACACTGACACCTCCACATCATGGTGGGGTTGAATGTCCCCACAGCATTAGCCTCTGGATTATGAGTCAAGGAGAACCATGTCCTAGCTGCTCCTTTGGTATTAGTTAACATAAGATGGTATGAATTGGTTGGAAACAAGGGGTGAGGTGGCGGAATATAATTATTTTGGGGCTTGATTTCCTGAGAAATTAAATGCAGCACCATACTATAATTAATGAAAATGGTATTGGATGTTGCCTGCTTCATTGAGGGGCCTCCAGCTGCCCCCAGCTGGTAGGAAGGGGGTTAGGCTCTTAAAGCCTCCTGCCCGCTCTTACCCCCTTGACACCCCTGCTAATCCCACAAGAGAAGAAAACTTATAACACCTCCATTCAACAAGGTAGGCATTCAGCAAGCTGGAAACTATAGACCTGTTGATGTGGAACTTTGGGAAGGTGTTCGAATCAATCTTTAAAGAAACTATATGAGGAGGCAGTGGCCTTATTGCTAGGCTATTAATCCAGAAACTCGGCTAATGTTCTGGGGACCCGGGTTCAAATTCTGTCATGGCAGAATTTGAATTCAATAAAGAATCTAGAATTAAGAATCTAATAATGACCATGAATCCATTGTTGATTATTGGAAAAACCCATCTAATTCACTAATGTCCTTTAGGGATGGAAACTGCCATTCTCACCTGGTCTGGTCTATGTGTGACTTCAGCAATGCGTTTGACCCATAACTGCCCTCTGGGCATTTAGGATGGGCAATTATTACTGATCTAGCCAACATCCTGTGAGTAAATTTAAAAAAATTACAGCTACACACTTCGGATAATTCAAGGTAATTAGAAAGAGGGAAATCAAAGGGAAATAATTTTTAAGCAACTTACTGGAGTTCTCTAAGAAGTAATGTGCGCTGGAGTAGATGGCCTAGGTATTTTTAATCAGCCTCTTCAGGCAAGCTTTGAAACACCTCTGGGACTTGACCCAAGGACTCCTGGCTTGGAGGTAAGGATACTACCACTGTCCCACCAAAGTTCCAATCAATGGTCTATACTTGGATTTCCAGAAGGCGTTTAAAAAGGTGCAATTGTGGGTTGTTATGGAAAGAAAAAGCTTATGGAGTAGGGGATAGCATGGATGGAAAAAAAGCTGGTTGGCAGCAACAAAACCTCAGCAAGATAGTTCAAAATTTTCTTAAAAGCAGAGGATGCCGAAAAGGAATCTGACAGAGACATCTAAAGTTACAACAAGAAGGGACAGAATAGAAAGAAAGATGAACAGTAGGATGTAGATTGAAGATTAAGTGTAAAAGATTTAGGTTAGAGAACAACAGTGTTTTGTTTTTACACACTGAAGGTTGTGAGGCTAAAATTCAGAACCTGTCAACATGAAGCAATAAGTTACAGAAAGGTTGAAGGATGAGGATGAAAGATTATTGGGAATGGGACAAGTTTATGGGGTTAGAATACGACCAAGATGGAGAACAGACAGGAGCACTGGTTGAATGGACCGTCTCCATGCAATAAACCTGAGTACAAGTAACTAAGCCGCAAAAAGAACATCACCTTTCTCTTGGGATGCAGGCAGTTCGTCATCAGTTGGTTCAGCAGGAAGTACTGAGACCTTAGTCCCTGTCTGTTGGATGAACTGTTGGAGGTTCACTTGCCTTAGCTCCTTGGTCAGTTGCTCCAACTCTAGTTCTCTCTCCTGTGGGGACAGGAGAGGTTTGTAAAGTTTTGGAATGTGTGGACACAGACCAACCATCTTGACAAATCACAAACCCCAACAACAAGCCAAATTGAATACTGTCAGTACTCAAATGCCATTATTCTGAAGTTTAAGCTATAAAGGGACACAATTAAATTGACACTTTTCAAATAACCTTATTTCAAATTTTTAGGATTGCACTTTGGTTTATGTATGGTATAGATTACACACTTATTGTCTACAAACCTTACTTTAAACTGCTACTATTTCTGTGTCAACATTTACCGTAATCTGGAATTGTTCTGCCAATGTCCTCACAGTGTTTCTCTTGTCAATAGTTCGTGGTGTAGTTATAAATTCTCGCCACTGGGCAGCACTCTTTCAGCTCTGTTGGCCTCGACAAAGACTGTATCAAATTATTTTGGAAAATGCACAAGGATTACAAAAGACCTTCAAAGTCCTTCTTGACTTTGAGGTCAGTGCTTCCACACAGGATACCAGAGGAAGGTTGAGTGATTACAGACCGCAATAAAGGAAGGTCACACCGAGTTACGATTAAGAGCACAAGTTGAAGGGAACTTTTGTTTCATGTCTTCACTTTATAACATGCAAAGTTGGAATTTACATTACAAATTATACCAAAAGATGGAACTAAATGGTTTGGATAATATCACTGATGCTCACTTGTCCCTGATTCCTGATTGGAACACTACTGTACCTAAATTGTTTTATTGGGTTTTTGAGATCACTTAACCATTAAACACACTTTTGCCAACAGCATTTTCATTAACTGATAGTACAGAATTACACAGAATCATGGAAAATACTACCGTGCAGATAGAGGCATTCAGCCCATCAAATCTACACCAATGCTCCAAACAGCATCCCACCCCTGTCCCTGTAACCCTGTCCTTCCCAGGGCTAACCCACCCAGCCTGCACACTACGGGCGATTTAGCTTGATCAAGCCACCTAACCTACACATCTTTGGACTGTGGGAGGAAACCGGAGCACCCAGAGGAATGTGCAAACTCCACACAGACAGTCACCTGAGGGAGGAATCAGACCCGGGTCCCTCGTGCTGTGAGGCAGCAGTGCTAACCACTGAGCCACTGTATCACCCAAGGACAAACACTACAGAAACGTGCCCCCTGTCAGCTCAACTGCTCAATGCCGGTGTTTGACCTTCGCCAGAACCACCTTGCACCTTACCTCACGAGGACCACCTTGCACCTTACTTCACCAGAACCACCTTGCACCTTACCTCACCAGGACCACCTTGCACCTTACCTCACAGGACCACCTTGCACCTTACCTCACCAGGACCACCTTGCACCTTACCTCACCAGGACCACCTTGCACCTTACTTCACCAGGACCACCTTGCACCTTACCTCACCTGGACCACCTTGCACCTTACCTCACCTCTCCAGCTCAGCATTAGCTTCTACCCCTTTGACCCTCACTTACTTATCCAGTTTCCCTTAAACACATTTGCACTATTCACAATTCCATGTGTTTGTGAGTTCTGCATTCTCTTCACTCTCGGAGTAAGAAGGGTTCTCTTCAGCTCTGTAATGGATTGGATTTTGTCAGGACTATGTTGTATCTGCAGTCCCTTGTTCAGCTTTATAGAAAGAAAAGTCTTTAATTGTGTTTAGATTTTTTTTAAATCATCCAAATTCTTTAAAAGTGAGCAATAGTTAAGTGTAAACAGGCTCTAGATTTTGTTTCCAAATTATCTGTTAATTTGAGTAAAATTTTATCACTTTTTCTTTACATTTCCATTTTAATGAAGTTGGTTAATTCAACTTCATTCAGACAAAAAGGCAACTTTCAATTAATTACATTGAAACATTTGTCACATTAAAATAGGCAACTAAAGTTTTAATTTGAATCAAAAATAGATTGTAAAGATGAATCAAATTCTTTTAATTGAAAGCTGCTATGAACATAGCAGCCACAAAATGATGTGCAAGAGCTTCACGGTTCTGCTACAGATAGAGTAACACAAAGGTCATGAGTTCAAATCCCACCATGACTTGCATTTATTGAGTTCAGAAGTGTTTAAGCTGATTAAAGGATTTGTTGTGTTGGGGCAGCCCAGAATACACTGGTAGGACTTTAAACTAAGAGCTAGGCCCTTCCAAGCTAATTTCTTCTCTAAAAGCGTAGCATAAACTTAGAACTGTCTCCCCAGTGAAACTACGAAGGATGGTTTCAATAAAAAACGGATAAAACAGAAACTGATCAATTTTATTTGTTAGGCCAGGGTGAGAGAACGAAAATGGATAATTAGAATTAAGGTACAGATCAACCTAACTGAATGGTGGAACAGGCTCAATGGGCTCATCCCACTCCTAAGTTTCGAGTCATGCAACTGAGTTAGTAAATTTGTAGGCAAGCACTAGAAAGAATAAGTAACATTATCACTGGACTAGCAATTCAAAACCCCAGGCTAATGTTCTGAAGACATGAGTTTGAATTTCACCATGGCCAAAGAGGAAATATACAATCAATAAATATCTTGAATAAAGGACTAAACTAATAGAACTCAAAGAACAGCACAGCACAGGAACAGGGTTTCCGGCCCACCATGTCTGTGCTGACCAAACTGACAATTCTAAACTAATTCCATCTGCCGACACATGGTCCGTATCCCTCTGTTGCCTGTCTGTACATGGTCTAAATGCCTCTTAAATGTTGCTTTCGCATCTACTTCTACCACTTCCCCAGGTACCTGTGTAAAAGACTTGCCTCGCACATCTCCTTTAAAGCTATGCCTCCTAGTCTTTGACATTTCCACCCTGGGGAAAAGACTTGGAATATCCAACCTCTCCACGTGTCTCAATTTTATACACTTCTATCAGGATGCCCCTTAGCCTCTGTCACTCTAATGAAAACAATCCAAGTGTGTCCAACCTCTCTTTATAGCTAATATACTCCAATCCAGGCCACATCCTGGTAAATCTCTTTTGCATCCTCTACAAAGCCTTCAGATCCTTCCTATAGCGTGCTGACCAGAATGGCACACAATACTCCAAATGTGGCCTAACTGAAGTCTTATACAGTTGCAACATGACTTGCCAACTTTTATACTCAATGCCCTGTCCGATGAAGGCAAGCATGCTGAACGCCTTGTCTACCACCTCTTCCACTTATGTTGCTGCTTTCAGGGAACTATGGACTTAGACCCCACGGTCCCTCTATATATCAATGCTCCTAAGGGTCTAGAGATTTAATGCTGACCATGTAACCACGGTCAATTGTTGTAAAAGGCCATCTGGTTCACTAATGTACTTTAAGGGATGGGAATCTGCCATCCTTATCTGGTCTGGCCTACATGTGACTCCAGACGCACAACCACGTTGTTGACTCTTAACTGACCTCTAGGCAATAAATGTTGGCCTGACCAAGCGATATTCACATCCCGTGAGCCAACGTTAAACAAAAAAGTGAGAATGCTGCTAAAAAGTTAACACATTCTCAGAAAAACTGCGCAGACACATTGAGATTGGCTCTCAATGTTATGTGAAGAGAACACTTGGACGATCGAGTGATGGGAGAGGAAATGTCCTGAGAACTGGTGAAAAGAATTTCAGGACCCTGGACTGTCATCAGCTGGGTAAGTTCTGCAGGGCAAACTGCATTATTGGTTTCAAATGTCCCATTTCGCATTCTCCCTCTCCCTTACCAGGTGGCAAGGGCTGAGTTCACAAATCAGAGTTAAAACATATTATCTTTTTAATTAAGAGTGGAGGGAATTCTCCAAGTTCTCAAGTATCCTCCAAGTTCTTAAAATTCCAGAAGTGTTCATTAAATGTGACGGTGCTATTGTTGCGGGGCATAAGTTTGTAAAGTCGACAAGTTCTGTTACCTGAAACTTTTTATTGGCTTGGCCCAAAGTCCTTTCCACAGCTCTCAGGCTGTTCTTCAGCCTCGCACTCTGTTGGCACTTGAGCTCAATATCATTTCGGATTTTGATCAAGTTCCCCGTGACCTCATCCTCATTGACATGAGCCCCGCGCAGCTCTTGCTGCAGCTTCTCTGCTTCAATGCCGCTCTCCATCTCCTGGATTTTCTGCGTGTAGTCCTTCAGCTTGTCCTCACAGTCCCTGATCCTCTGCTTCACCTCTTTCAGCTGCTCCTTCAGCTGGTTTTCGTTTTCCTGTTCAATCTGCCACTCATTCTCCCAGAATTCCTCCTCTTCGATCTCAATTTCATTCTTTTTGATTCTTTGGCCCAGTCTCAGAATTTCCTCGTCAATCCTGGGGTTTGCCTTGCCCTCCCAGTACCTCATCTCCACCTGATTGGATTCCAGCTGGCTCTGAAGAGTGTGGAGCTTGTCCTTTTGGAGGAGAACCAGCTTCTTCAACTCTTTGACTGGGACTCTGAAGTTGAGAGTTTGGTGCTTGACTTCCGATTCCTTGACCTTTCCAAAAACATCAACGAACCCTTTCGGGCCTGCTGTGAAAGTCAATGACTTCCTTTTTGGTTCTTTCCTTTTTAATGATCCATCATATTGGGGTCTCAGCTTAGCTAACGGGGGAAGGCTTTGCCGGTATAAAGTCCTCTCGGGTCCTCGGCCAGAGCTGTCTGATGTGGGTCTCTCGCTCAGCGAAGGGCCAGTTCGTCGTAATATCAGCTGCACATCACTGGCGTACTGGCCCCATTTATTCAGGGCTGCAAGTGGATTCTCATGCGGCGCTAGGTGTCGCTCCGTCTCCCTCCATTTCTCAATGAGTGTGTAGCGGCCAGTTCTTCCTGGGAAGCACAAAGGAATCAGGAGATAAGTGTTAAAAGTAGAATAAAGTTGCTCTGGATCATTTTAAATTTCCCAGCAATTATGTTGGCACACATCTTTGCTCACACAGGCAAAAGGGGCAGCGCATCTTAAAATCAGAAAGACCATTAGGAGCTCTTCGATGCCTGCAAGTGTATCAGCTGTGACACAAATTGCAGCGCAGTGGCTCAGTGGTTAGCACTGCTGCCTCACGTGCCAGGGACCCAGGTGCGATTCCACTCTCGGGCGACTGTCTGTGAGGAGTTTGCACATTCTCCCTGTGTCTGCGTGGGTTTCCTCCAGGTGACCCAGTTTCCTCCCACAGTCCAAAGATGTGCAGGTTAGGGTGGATTGGCTGTGCTATATTGCCCCATAGTGTCCAGGGAGGTGCAGGCTGAGTGCGTTAGCCATGGGAAATGTGGTGTTACAGGGATGGGGGTGCAGGTCTGGGTGGGATACTCTTCAAAGGGTTAGTGTGGACTTGATGGACTGAATGGCCTACTTCCACACTGTAGGGATTCCACGATACAATTCACTGCCTTCCAAAGACACTGCGGCTTCAAGTCCCACACCAGAAATGTGAGCACAAGAAAAAAACACCAAAGCTTACTGTGCATTATCGAAGGAGATGAGCAGCTCAGGATTAAAGTAAAAAGCCGAAACGCAAAGCCAATTATCCCACGATGAGCAAGCCACGGGCGAATTGAGGGGAAGACGAATAAGATCGGAGAAGTAAACGCATGGCACAGAGACTGGTATGGGAGAAATGGATTGGCATTTGTGGGGCACTGTTACCAGGACAGGGGAAAGACAGAGCTGTGAACCATGCTAGGATCATGTAAATTCGTAGGTGGGGCTTTAATCTGGGGGGCAGCATTCCCTTGAAACTGGGCAGCTACTCCAAGGTTTGGCTACATGTTAATTAGTATCTAATTGGCTGTAAAGCAGTTTGGGATGTTTTGATAGGTGGCATCTAAATAAAGCGATTTCTTTCTAATCACTTTTTAACAGACAACAGTTAACATAGGTTCCACTGGGGCATAGAGGTTGAGGGGTGACCTTATAGAGTTTTATAAAATCTATATTTTATAAAATGACAAGAGTCTTTCCCTAGGGTGGGGAAATTTGAGACAGGGGGACATATTTTTAAGATGAGAAAGATTTTAAAAAGACACGAGAGGCAATTTTTTTTAACACAAGAGTGTTTCGTATGTGGAATGAACTTCTCGAGGAAGTGGTAGGTGCGGGTACAGTTACTATGTTTAAAAGA